ACTGGACTTCTGGTCGGCCAGTACCTGAGTGCGCTTGATTACTGGTGTGAGTTTGTATACTTATTGCTCTGTAGCTGGGGTCAGTGTGCCTGGGTTCGTGCTGTCGCTGTCATGGCTTAATAGTGTGACTGCTGGCCATACAAAGAAGGTGGGTGCTTTGCAACTTATTGAAGTTGTTCTTCAAGTCAAAATCACCCTGCAGGTTGTTACTAATGCCATTATGCTCTCGGCATACTGTATTGGCAACTCGGCTGGCCCCTTCATGTGGAAGACGCAATACAAGCCGCGGTAGGTTATTCTTGTAATTCTAGGAAGGAGGGTTTAAATCAATCATGATTTATGTGCAGTAACCACATCCCATGGGCTGTGATTGGCGCATGTTACGTCGCCTGCCCTGTACTTCTCCTTGTCATCCGTGCTGTTCTCGTCCGAGAGAACAAAATCCGTGACGCTGAGCCTGTTGACGATGAAGAAGAATACGTGATCGAGAAAATCACTGAGGATGGAAAGCGTGTGGAAGTCAAGGTCGACAAGGTGAGTCCTCCGAATCAATGGCTGCCGTTTGTAATACGAGGCTGATACCTTGCTTTCACTAGGCATTTCTGGATTTGACGGATAGACAAAATAGAGACTTCAGATACGTTTTGTAAGATTAACCATGCGTGATCTCTGTACATCCACTATTAGTGTAAACATGTTTTTCTTATTCATGCTGTTCCTCGGAACAAGAGATCTAATGCCCAATTTACCGAAGATGATCAATTTAAAGTATGGGGGCACTGCTGGCCACCCTTGATCACAAAAGGGACAGCCTTGGACCAACGCGCTCCAATGAAGCTATCACGGTTGTTGACATTCGATATGACATTGCGAGATCCGCGCGTGACCCTGACAGTATTGGGAAAGACTGTTCCTCGATAGGTCCGTCAGACAGATTTAGGATCCTGACAGCTTGCACCAGTTGGAATGTCCAGTGTAGTAATATTGATTATTTGGAGGTGCGTACGCTTGTAGGCTGGCTGCCCGTTCTGTACATTGTGATACACGTGTGCATCGCAGACAGCAAGGACGAGTGTCCCCGGTCTCAATGTCGAATACGTCCCGTACCTTCAGGCTGGAAATTCCAACTATGATGCATCAAGCTGCGTAAGATCCGTTCCAGAGGGCCGAATCAATATCAATCGACACCCATCGAAGTTCGCAGTTACAGAGGCAAGCCAATCACGGCCAAGCTTAACGTCGTGCCATTCAGATAGACGTGTCGAAATGTCTGTCGAGAAGCATACCAACCGTCGGTCGTAGGAACGTACGCCGAACCAGATGTCGACTCCACACTGAGTCCACAGCGACCCGATTGGGATTAGAAACAGGACACGGCACATTGCAATTGTGCGGGAAAGACAACGACACGGAGGAATCTCGACGTACATCGTTGACACATATAAGAGCTGTGAAAGATCTGTCGATCAACATAGATCAACATACGCCAACAAATACCGCGCGAACAAAACACCATGAAAGGAAAAAAAACAAATCAAAACCCACTGTCGTTAGGCCCAATAGCGAATAGCGGACTAACACACGCATGATAAACATACCGATAGTACGTGTGCGGATCCATGATTAGTTGATCAGACTCTCTCAGAATAATGCCAGCTAATTACGAATGTCGTGGACTCGTCGTGGAGCACTTGCATATGGCTCACCGGCCGGCCGAAGGCAACGTTGTTCAACACCGCAAATAGTGCTGCGGGCTGGAGGCCTATCAGCAATTTCGCCTCGACGTTTCTTGCGATGATGATGCCAGGATGATGCCCAGGATTTCGCCTCAACATGGGCCGTTGAAGATAAACATTGTATTTGCACTCAGTCTTGTTCTCCCTCTCATCATATCTTTCTTGAATCCTGCCTGGCGATTTGCTCAGTTCACGCCTCGACAACTCATCTATGGAACAGATCTCCTGCCATTTATTACGGCGTTTTGGGCCTCTCCAACCCACACATTCGGTCACCTTTCGCGCTTTCTTCAAGCTGCCATAGTAGCATGCTTCCCGCAGGCGTTACCGATTCATATGATCACCTTTTGGGCCATTATTGCTCTCGCAAGAACACTTTCCGGTTTTCTACTTTGTCGGAGCGTAGGATGGACATACCCCTGGTTATTCAGCCACTGGGCGTTATATGAGACATCAAGCGGCATAGGTCCTGCACTCACAGCTTACCTCATAATGCACGGTGCTTGGCCATGGTCAAATTCTCGGCTTCAGAAGTATTGCACTGATACTATGAAATCACTGGCGATAATATGCTCGTGTTTGACCCTGTGCTGGCTCGACAGTGCGCCGTGGACTTATGCCATGGCCTCTATAGCCTCTGTAGTGCTATGGCCTGTTCAGGCCATAAATACATCATCTTCACAATACCATCCCTACAGCTACTACCCTACGGCATGGGACACGCGACGTTTGCGCACAGTCATACAGACTGCAGTGCTTTTCTTGTTCCTCATGCTATCCGTGCATGTTATCCTTACCACCATGGTCTCAAGCAAGATGTCATTAGACATGTCCACTTCTCAAGGAACACATCCCTTTTTAGAGATTCTTATTCTTCCCTATCCCCGTCCGAATGACGCGGCTTCTACCGAGTCACTACTATCGCAAACCATCTCTTCATATGTTCCTTATATCGATTCTAACACGATACTATCTGTGTTCACACATTCTACTGCACACGTATCATTTGCTCACGCGAAGGAGTATTATGCTCAAACACCTATTACATTCTATACAGACACGGACATACATATAGACTCATATTCAGGTCAGCATTTACATGTTGCAGAGGCATTTCGGTGGGCTTCTGAGAAGGGCCCATCTCAAGCAGAGTGGGTCATGCTTGTGGAAGATGATTTCCCGGTATGTGGTGAGTGGGGATGGCAAGGCATCCTCAACGTGATGAACGAACTCCAGCGTGGTGGAAAATATGGAGGATTTGTTGGAACCGGTGGCAGGTTTGTGTTAAATATCCATAAGAACATTATGTGTCCTGACGGCCCTCGTCTTTTCAGCGGCCTGATAATCCACCGCAGCCTATTGCCCATTCTCACGTACATAATGCGTATACATGCTCTTCAGCATTCCCCCATCCCCCCCTCTGTGCAGTATCGGCCTGCAGATATCATCATACAAGATTGCCTTTGGGGAAGGGACTTGTTATGTCCGCATAACTCTAAGGAACCGGTACTTGTCATCACTTCTCGTCTCGTCATGGATCATATAGGCGGGAGCGCCAGCACCATGAGAGGCCGCGTGTATCCTGCAGACAGGTGGAAGTGTGGTTGGAGGCATCCGTTTCATGGCTTGACACAAGTCGATGTTGTACCTGTCTGGTACGACGAAAATTTATTTTCTAATGTGATGCTGGAATGTTAATAATTGTATAGATTCTGTTTTGATTGCAGTGATGCAGAATGTGTTTTTCGTAATTTAAAGGGTCACTGGAAAATAGAACGCAGCCGTGGTTTCCATGTTGGTACCGCTCGATGAGACTTGTAATCTTATAACATGATATCAGGCTTGATGGTATTCGCCCATGAAGATTTCTGAGCTTCGCCGGCCGAACAAACACGTTTGATGCATATATGCGTCCTTGTGGTTACCGATGTGTATGCAATTACTGTGATTCTGGAAACTGCGATGATTCGGCTGAGGTTACAGTTGTCTTTGAAACGAACGTGACCGGTAACCAGTAACTCGTCTCTGAGATCTATCATCCACATTTGGCAAATTTACAACAGGCGTTGATCGAGCACACAATAAATGTCGAGGATTCAATGCATTCGATCGATAGGACTGAATTTTTTGGTCCCCCTCCCAATCGTAGACAATCATTAGATCCAATTCAAACATTGCGAAAAACAAAGTGAATCCTAGTCAATTTTACCACTAATAGCGCTCGTCATCTATTACTCCTCCTCGTCTGGCATCGCATCAATGTCCAGGAACATTGATGCCTCGCTCGTCTCCAGGTCACACACCATGTTGGCCTTGGAGCCACTGCAATAGACAGTGAGTCATACAGAGAAAATCAATCCAACGAGCATGTACTAGACAGTATTGTAGATGGCATACATCAGTACGTGGTACTTGCGCTCACTCGTGTCAAAGATATCATTCAAGATACCCACCAATGGTTTGTAAATCCCGCTATACAATCCACAATTGAAATCGCGGTCATATTGTTCGGATGAATATTGCATGATCACGCTGCGTACCTACAAGCCATACATGTTAATAAGTAGCTCGGTCATCATGATTGAGTGCCAGAATGGACTTACCGCTGTTCCTGCGAGTGCAAGAAATAATACTTATACCGTCTCCTTCTCAGGCCACGACAACTGTTTCCATCTGGGATTGAACAACCAAAAGTGCGCCACCCAAGTCAACCCTTACTTGACAAACCACTTGACAAGTAACATAAAGCAAACCTCCTGGCCTTCCTTCTTGGTCTGGCCTGGGATGCTGAAACGTCAAAGGTGCGGCTGAAGTCGCGGCTCAATCGCCTCTGCTGCCCTCCTACTCACGATTAAACATCGTGCCTTCTCGGTACGTTGTTTCCTGACGGATAAAAATTATTAGTAGGCGTATGATTGAGTCACTGATTCTTTCCTCCGTTTACTAACGATTTCTTTGCTCTAGCCAATCCATCATTCTGCCCTGCAGTAATTCACCTTCGCTCACGATTGACGGACAATCTGCCAACTAGTGACATGTATTGTTTGTGGTGTCTTTGCGTAACTCGCTTGTTGATTATCGGGTGTCTTAGAGTCAGTTGCTGCATTAACTTCAGCAAACAAACGCGGCATTCAAATGTGGAATATCATACATCATGATCGACCAAAAGAACTGTCTCTCATCTTGGCCACCACTCTCAACGCCTTTTGTATATCCGATTCTGTCGGAGCCTCCTCCCCAACCCACTCAGTTATCCACCTAACCAGCTGCCCATATTCACTCTCCCCTTTCTTTCGTCGTTCCGCCCACTCCTCAAACAATGGACCGTGCAAGGACACTTCAGCCCAGAACACGAGCGCAATGGACAATGTGTTGCGTGAGGGATTCATCTGCAACTCACGCATCCACGCAAGGGTAAGCGAAATTTCTGATGCGCGCCCGGTGAAACCCAGAAGCTGGATGTAGGTTGAGAAGGTCTGATCGGTGGGTACGATAGATAGATAGGGACCGTATGGCTTCTTTTCGGGAGAATGGGCTTCCGCAGTAATAACTTTCGGTTGTGCATCATGGTCCTTACGCATGGAGAATGGCATTGTAATGCTTTTGGCTAGTTTCGTCAGCGGGTAAAGAGGGGTAGCCTCGGCGTCCTTGGAGTGCACGACAGAAACGGGTTCCTTTACATCTAGGAGCCGCTTCCAACTTCCGTACATCACAGTGCGGAAAATGTCTCGAGCTACGTCACCCGCACGGCGGTCCCTCCAGATCCCAACAACTGACGGCGGATGCGGAGGGTGAAGTCGTCCCATAATCAAGTCGATAGGGTTGCTGGACTCTACTGCAGGCGTGTGAAACAGGTGTGCGAATGTCCCCCGCACGGACTCATTATCCATCTTGGTTGCGAGCACGGCAGCTTTTAGGAGGACGTTTAACGTGGCTCCGTTCGGGCGTACAGAATAGAGCTGTTCAAGGTGGTCCCACAGCTGGAAGATGATATCTGGGCGGCGAATGCGCAGTAAGGCGACCATGAACTCGTTAATGACGATGATATTTATCCAGTGACGGGATGCTGGAGCGATATGCTTGTCATCTGGAAGGGACGCTGGTTGCGAAGAGGTGCGCTGTGCGTCCATGAATGAGTTCAGAAGGTAGAATGCATCCTGCGGGTGCCCTGCACGAGTAAGGACCTGTATACCTACAGTCAGTGCCTTGCGATCAAGTGCAATATCTGAATCGAGCAACTGATTCCATATCCTCAAGGCCTCGTCGAAAGCTCCTCGGAAGAGTAAGCCACGAAGTATGACGGTATATGTGGCAACAGTGGGTTTGAACTGCTTCGTTCGTTCGCGCGCGCGCTCGAAAAGCGTAACAAGGGTGGATGTGGAAGTCTGTTCATCGTTTGCTGCGGAAATGAGTGCAGTGGTCCAATCAAAGATGTCCACGCCGGTCTTTGTACCAGACCAGAACTTGGTGGATGCGTGGCGAGATGAAGGTCCCGGGACGGACGTGACGGGTCTAGAGTTGTGGGCAGTATCAAGCTGTAGAAGCTTATGGAGGTAGTGAAACGCAGAAGCATAGTCATGCCGCAAAGATCCAATATATAGCGTGTTTGCAGGGTGTGTTGTCCCTGAGTGATCAGCACCGCGAAGGTGGATATCCGGTCCGTGAGGAACTGTTAGGCCATGCTCTATACAGTATCGACGGATGGCACGGAGATATTCCTGTGAATCCTGGATGGCTCCATGTTTGGAAAAGATGCGAAGGAAGGCCTCTAAATGTTCCGCAGTTGGCACAACTCCTTCGTGGGACATCTTCGTGTGGAGGACCTTGGTCAATTGGAGAGTGACAAAGCGATCTCGCATCAGCGACCTGTATGTTTCAAGCCATAATGGCACCTCTCGTGCTGACATCGCCTCGAGTACAGATACCGCAAGATTGGCGGCTGCTTCCGAACGAGTGAAGCCAGACAGGCCGCGAAGTAGAGCATTGAAGTAAAATGTAGGAAACTGAATCGTGCGCGCGAGGAATTGTTGCACGATTTTACGCATCGGCGGAAGAAAGTCAAAGTGAGCGAGCGCATGTGTGGACAGAATTAATAGTGCAGGACGATCTTTAGAGCCAAGGGTCCACGAGTGCTCAAACGTAAGACGTAACAGACCGTCCTGCGCATCCTGCGCAGTCCGGACTTTGTGACAGATTAAGGAGAAAGCAACCCACGCGGGAAGCTGCACCGTCTGTTGACGTTCGACGGCAGAACCGTCTGCAGGGAATTGACCTGCAAGGCCCCTATTCTGCTTTATTGCAGATAGAGCTGTGTTTAAGTCGGGTGAATATACCACATGTTTCCAGAGAACATAATCGATGAATGGTATGCTACAGCTCTCCAAAGCACTGTGTATCTCTTCGTCTTTGCGCTCGCGTTTCAGTTGAGAAACGAGATCCCATAGGGGGTCCTTTGTGATGAGGGAAGCTTGCTTTGCGAACTTGACGAGGCGTTTACTGCCAGAGAAAGATGAATAAGTCCTCTGATAGAGTCCAGTGAAAGTAGACTGCGATGATCGTCTATAGAGAGGAAAGACAATATACTGCATGCGCGAACAGCATCTGCAAAATTCATCAAAAATAACACTTGAAACTGTTAACAGGAAGTATACCTGGTGTTAAGACTCTCTGAGATCCAACCAAGTCCGAGATCTCAAAATTGATGCCAGTTGTGCTTGCCACAAGCCAAATAGATACACATATGACGAGTTCACACTCCGCACGAACCCTACTCCTCTTAGATCCAAACCACGACCATCTGTTCGCTCAACACTCAAAAATGCCGCGCATCCTTTTCGTTAGTGGATTTCATCCTTCTACTAGGGCACGCGACCTTGCATTCGAATTCGAACGGTGAGCACATCCATGACTCTTGATTTATATACGTCAAAAAAATGTTCAATTTTTTTTCCTCGTATTTTTAGATTCGGTCCCCTAGTCCGCTGTGATGTTCCAGCCCCGCGTAATCCTCATGCAAGCTCGAACCCGTAAGTGTAATTATCGTTTTTGTTTTCTTCACCTCTGTCCAGTCAACGCGACTCGAGGGACGATTGCCTTGCGATGCGCTGCTGCCTTGTCTCGTCGATTCGATTAGTCACTCGCGAGTCTCCTTCGTCTTCGTATTCGCCGCTCTGCGCTGCGATATCATTCGATGTTTCGGGTTCCGAGAATCACCTATCGCTCAACATGTCTCGCACCGTCTCGCAGTTACGCTTTCGTCGAGTTTCGAAGCCAGCGACATGCTGAAGATGCCTATTACGATATGTATGTTCTCTCTCATGTTCACTTTTAACCTGCCTGACGCGTCAGGCGTAGGCATGGAAGGTACTTTGAGGGATCTCGTTTGAGTATTCAGGTAAGTCAGCACCTCATGGGAGCAATTTAATGTTCTCAATTATATTTGTAGTGGGCAAAGAATCCCCCATCTTCTGTTTGGCGGTACGAGAGGCGTTCTTCTCCTCCTCATCGTTCAGGTCGTGACCGTGAGCGTTCTCGAAGCCCCCCTCGTCGTCGCTCCGAAAGAGATAGCAGGGACGACCGCGACCGTCATGACGACCGTGACAGAGACCGCGAACGCGAACGTGACCGCGATGTCGACAGGGAGAGGGACAGGAGGAGGCGGAGCAGGAGCCCTGATAGGAGGAGGAGCCCATCCCCTGACAGAAGGAGGCATGACCACGCGCGTACTCCTCCGATGGAAGACCACAAGAAGGATGATGATCGTGATTTGCAGTCGCGCACCCCGAATCAGTATGCGCAGTAAAAATTTTGTCGGGTTACACAGTGAAATGAGTAAACTGTTCTCTGTTTCTTCGTTCAAAATGATCCTCGAGACTCTGTTCTTCTACTCGTAGCGTTTCTGTGAATGTTGTAGCCGCGTT